ATTTAAATGACATTACTGAGACTAAGGCCTCCTGGCATCGGGGGACCTCCCACAGGTCCTGTAAAGAAATCAAAGGAGTCACCCAATGGAGGAGCATAATGATATTTCCCTTTCTGAAATGAAGACCACCCTCCTGACTTCCTGGCTGCTCAGAATAATTCCATCATTGTTATAACACATTCATTTGCCCTCAGGTGAAAGAAGGTGCCTTCACTGGAACATTTTTACCCAGGGACATTAAATACAAGCAGGTTGGGGTTGTGAGTGAAAGCCATGCATTAGGAACCTTTTCATCTACACCCTTCCTGTCCTTTGGGCATAAATATCCCTTCTCTGACGGGGTTCTCCAAGTACTAAATCCTGCAGGGCTGCAGCAGAACACAGCAATGAGCTACAGCCAAGTATGTGACACACATCGGGCTGATCCGGCAACAGGCTGTGGAATTGCTCTGCTACAACCCAGCTGTCCTGAAATGATATAACACATAATAAAACTGTGACAGGTACTGAAGGAAAGTTACTCTTAGGAAATAAACACAGGGCTCTTCTTTTTTACCTTCTTCTTTACTAAATAGAAAATATGTTGAAACTAGAAGTAAGTAGCAATTTCAAATATTTGCATTTTTCTGATTAGACAGTTATGATGATCTCTACTTTTGCATGGATCTACACTTTTGTGTAAGCCTTTGTCTGTCTTACATGTCCTGCATAAATAAATGACAGATATGTGACAAGGGAACATAAATTGGACATCGTCATGTAGATTATTTTCCTTGATATCACTAAAATAATGCACTTTATGGTGGATGAATCCTCTTCTGCAGAGTCTTTGTTAAAAATAATCCTGGATATTATTCCACTGTCTTGCCTGAGAAGCAAAGCAAGACTGGGACTAGTCTGAGACTGTCAGTCTAAGGCTTGCCTTCAGTACCTAGCAGGAGACAACAGAGCTGGCACTATTTGTGGGTACATCCCTGCTCAGTGATGGTATTTGTGTTATTTGCCATGGAAAACAGAGTGAAAATGTCTCTCGGTCCATGCCAGCTAAGACACAAAAGAAGGTTGGAATGGCTGCTTACCTATCCCCAGGTGCTCCAGCAATAAAGTCCATCTATTCAGGACCGTACAGGAGCTGCATGGCACCCTGTAAGCATACACAGCTGAGCACTAGACATCCTGTTTAGATCATGTGGTTAAGAAGTTGCAATGAATCAACTACAAGTCTGTTCATGCCAGTTTGACATCTCAAGTTCTGAGCCCACCCACCTTTTTTATTATTTCCAGTTTTTGCTGAGCATATAATTGTGTTTCTAAAGTAGAAATTCAGATTCTCCTTCTACCAGCACTGCTTTTCTTTATTTTGGTCAAAATGAAGCAAACTGAAAGCTAATTATTTCCTGCTTCAAGCACAATAGAGTGGTTATCGGAATGCTCCCCTCTAATCCTATCAGAAGTGTTATAGGAGCTAGTAATAAATGAGCTTCCAATTAATTAAATACAGGTCTCCATACAAACAGATCACCCCAGAAGCTGTTTCTTTTTTTTCCTCCTGCATCCACATCAGCTGCCGCAAAGCAGGAAGACTGTATCCACTGGCGTTTAATAGAACACATCGTAACTGAAGAATACTTCACTCATGGTGAAATTAATCTTTAGTCAATTAATGTTAAAAACTAAATAGAAATATTATTAGTTTCAGTGTTAAAATCTCATTTATTTGGGTTCAGTTTTTGCACTTGCATATTTTTATTTAAGCATTCTAGAATTGGTATTATAAATTTGAGCTTCTGTCATTTTTAATAGGATTTTTAATAGCATTTCTGTAATGGTATTTAAGTTACACTTTAGAGAATTAACATTTATTCTTGATCAAGACAAGAACATTTGTGTGTCATTATTTGTATGTCAGAAAGGAAAAGAAAATAAATTATTTTTTTTGCAAATGTCAGCAGTGGGAAGAAAGGGCTAGTTTCAAACCACCTAGGTATTTTGAGATAGTTTACTGTGGGTGATTTTCTGTGTTAGGAGAGTTGCTCCAAAATAAAATCAAACTGGACACTTTTCTGCTTTACTTGACTAAATACTGATTTTTTGCTAATGCATCTGCAAGGCACAAAAATAAGGCTTCAGGACACTCCAAAGAAAACTGGCCTAAGTGCACTCATTCTACCACAGTGCTAAGGAGTTGCTAAGGAGAAAGGTTAAAGCACATCATTTGCTCCATGAAGATGCCCCTTTCATGTTCTCTGTGGTATGTATGCGGTGGGGAAGGCATGAAAGACAAGTGAACCCTGGGTTTACTCTGGGACATCGACTGCACAGTAGCAAGTGTGCTATGTCTCCATATGTCAACCGCTCTGTATACTAAGAAAGACACTTTGTAATATTTATGCATGGGTGCTAATAGGTAAGAAGAGTGGACTTAGGCAGACATTCCTGAATCATCTCTGTTTCAGGTCTGTTGGTCTCTAGGAAATTGGTGGCTTTAATATCTATATGCAGTGTAGAATCTTAATGACATCTGTTGACTTCCTGATGAATAGAGTGTCAAGCACCTTAGGAATAGTGAAAATAAAAATACTCCTTTGCTACCTAAGAAAGTTTTGGAACAGAACAATCACAGACAAAAGGAAATACAGACATAAGGAGGGGAATGGTTGTTGTGTTATACCTAAGCTACAAGATTCAAGATACTGCCAATGCTGATTGAGATACCCCCTGCTTCAGGCCATACTGAGCCTTAACAATAACTTGGGGCATGATTTTGGATTCATAATGTAGGCAACAGTTTAAGTACTTGTTGAAGATATAAGGAAAAAAAGTATGTGTGAGAAAAGTCTCCAGGGACTTACAAACAAGGCAGAGCAAGAAAGGCATTCTTAACACTCAAATTAAAAATGTGTCTCCTCAGCAGACTAACACTAGTGAAACAGCTGTCACTATCTGATTCCTGAAGACCTAGGAGTGCACAGCCAGACAGCAAAGTTGCCTTTTAGAATAAAACCCACTCCAAGTGCATCAAGGAAGCAACACTGAACAACTGGGGAAACAAAAATCTATTTCTTTTGTCTTGGTGCTACAGGCTTTTCTGAGCCACTGAAGTACTGACGGAATTGCAGTCTGTGATCTTTGAGCTAGGAGCAGGGAGGAGACTGGACAGAAAGGCTGGCAATGTGGCAGGAGCAGTAAACACTCAGGCTGCTGTCCTGCAGAGCCAGAGGGCTGCGAGAAGCAGGTACTTCAGCCAAGGTAAGAGTGATGCAGAACACATGCAGTGTTCTGGGTAGAAGAGCTAAATGCCATAGTCTGATGCACCAGCATCTATGTTTTATCCTTACAGTTATCTGGGAGTGTGTGTGACTTTAAAGCTGAAGTTCCTGCATGGAAAGTCACTGTTGAAACGTTTTCATCCTGGACCTGTGTCGATGCCTGCTTTGACATGGACAGCTACAAAGGCTGAGCAGGTCTGCTTAAAAACTTCAGTCTCTCTACCTTTATCTCCATTCATAGCAAACCCACCTTGAGCCTGAGCCTCAGCAGCTGGTAGATTTTTTGTTCTTTCCAAAAAGTATCAGTTTCTCCACCTGGAACAGTGTGAACAGCCTTTTCTTTGAAGCTTATCCCTGGTAAGAAATCGCTCTTATTGAAATCTCTCACTAGGGCACCAACTTGCCTCATCAAATGTTCTTTATGAGTATTTTTTACAATTTTCTTCCCCTATAATTTATACTGGTGAACATAATTCAGAAGGAAGACTAATAACAGCAGCCCCTGAAGATACTATGGTCAAACTGATTCAGATTTTTGTTAATGGTCCTAGCATCTGACTTACCATTGTGCCTGATTGCTTTCCTGTCCTTTATGTGTGTAGTCTCTGCTGCTTGTACAGATGGGGAAGCTTTTATTTGTTTAAAGCAGCAGAGCTGGAAGAACAGAGAACAAAACTTAGTAGCAAAACTAAGACCTGGATTTAAAATTTAATCCAAGTTCTAAGTATATATTCTGTCTACAGTTTGATACATGTGACAGTTGTTGCCTAACTTTTACTAACGTTGGAGTAACATGGGAAAAATTACTAGATTGCTTTCTGAGATGAAAACTGAGTCATTTGTGGGCATGTTCATATTCTTACTACATTTGCTTTCCACAATCATGTCAGATAAAAGTAGCAAGGCATAAATATTTATCCAGAATAGAGTTTAGGGAGGCACCGCCAGAGCATTACACAGGCATTTATACCTACACAAGTCTGGGGCATATGCATCCCATAAAAGGCTGATGCTTGTGAGGCACAAGAGATTTAGCCTCAGCAGTTCTTCAGGTCCCCATTATCCAGGTGTTTCTTTAATTCAAAAACCACAGTTAGCAGGAATGATTATACTGTTGCCACAAAAGTTATTAGTCATACACAGATATTAGTCACACATAAAACACAGAGCCCTTTATTAAAAGCTGCTAATGGGCAACTAAGTTTTGGGAAGTTCACTGGAAATATGTATTCTTTTTAACAATTGAAATGGCTGGTGCTTTTAGAGGTTATGGCTCAATTGTGATGCACGCGTATCAGCCAGGCCATAATGTAGAATGACATTTGGGTTAAAGAAGAGCTGGTACTGCAGTAATTGTTCACCCATATAGATTTTCATTGAATAAGTTCCATTTTAGTGTCCACAACTATTTCGATTGTAAACATTCTGTTCAGAAGATTGCAAATGCTGATGATATTTAATATGGCATTTTAAAGACAAAAGGCACCCCTGGTAGGGAGAAATGATGGGTTAAGAGAACGACACCAGAGTGACACCAATTTGTTAAAGGTTATGAAATAAGAGCTTTTCTGTAATGGACATGTGCAGAATGTAATGACATGTGCAAAATAACAAGGATATTTGTTACTTCTGAATTACTGGGTTCATAGATTATACAGCTATATTACAAGGTCTGATCTAATGCATAAATCAGAGGGTTTTCCTGAATTAATTTTTGTTTGAATTACACCATGTCTTCTAAGGAGAAAAATCCTGATCTTATTCTTACATTGCCCTGAAGCCCATAGGAAATTCAGGAAAGGCTGCCAGTAATATGAAATGTGAAAGATATTATCTCTTTCCATCTGTCTCTGGGTTTCTCCCCAGTCTTAGATATATGGAATAGACAACATGTCAGAGGGAATCTGCAACACTCTGTGGAACTGCCCCAGCTGAGAACTTGCATACTAGTGATAAACAAGATTCAGCTGGGAAGAAAACACCCTCTGTAACACCATCAAGTGAGAAGGCTGTGGGCTCTGGACTTTACTAGCCTATAAACCTCCTGCTTTTAATTCTCCTGAGGAAAAAGCTTTATACATTTTTGAAGCCACAGGCACCCAACCAGAGATTCTGGTGACTTGACAGAGTTGAATTCTGAAGGTCAGTATAAAAACTACTCTGTAATCTTTCTGCTTTAATTCATTTTAATTCATTTCATGGATATTTTGTAGTTCTGATGTAGTACTGAGGCTAAAGGAAGTTGAAATATTTAAAAACAGCAGCATACAATTTAAAGACGTGCAACAACAAATGGCTTTTTTGTAGGTCCACTCAGTTGTGTTAGCTCTAGCATGGCCTTGCTTGCTTGGAAACAATGACACTGTGAAGACCATCAGGAAGGTGTGACTTGTACTGTGATAAAGCTACATTAATTAAAGTTATGTTTCATGACTAGAGACTAATCCTGGAAATGACTAGTAATAACATTGCATTTAATTTTGTGGTGTGAAATTCATTGTATGTATTTGAAAAACTGGTATGCTAATTACATATATTAAAGTAGATTACTGAGAAAGCAGATGTAAATGCCTCTTTGTTTTTTTTTTAAGCCTTTGTAAAGCAAAGTCAGCAATAAGCGCAAGTAAAAGTGTAGGTGATCTTCTTATCAGTAGACTGAAACTTCTACACCTCTGGCATCAAAGCAGTTCCTGTCTGGTGGCTACCCAATGTCAACCATTCAGTCTTTTGAACATAAAATACAGAGTAAATGGGATTGAAAACAACTGGACACTGACAGGCAAAGGCAAGGGTGTCTACAACCTAGATGAAGACGTACGTGCATGACAATGCGGCCTACAGTATTTCTCTATAGTTCTTTGAAGTGGTCACAGTTCTGTTTCATTCATTAGAAAAAAAAAGACAAAAAAATGTAAGATTTATGATCATGAGTTTTAAAATGTTTTGGGCCTGGAACACTTTCATTGGAAGGGGCACACTGCTCCAAGGTTTTCATTTTTGTGGTGCTTTACATAGTGTTATTTGGACATTATCAAATCATTTTATATTCTCAAAATGTTTTTCAGAGATCCAGCTTGAAATTGCATGAAATGTTCAGATATTTTTTTCTGCTGGTATGTGGCAGTTATCATGACTCAGAGTTTATTCTGTGTTCTATCGATCACCATAGTAACCTGTACTCTCTGTATTTAACAGGAAACAAAAAGTCATTTACTTGACAGGGATGGAGTTCTGGGAAGCATTAATTTATGAACACTGGCAAAATATTTTAATGGAACTATTTGCTTCTCAGGTTGTTATGTGTACCCATAATTTGATCTTCATCTGCCATGCAGACTTCACATGAAGAAATTGATTGTAGTCAAAATGTATTCATTAGGATTACAGCTATTTTCTATTCTTATTGGCTGTTAATATAAAGCTAAACAGTGCCCTATTCAGTCCAGATTGTTTATGTATATGTAAAGCACAGCAAAGGTACTTTGCTAGTTATTGGGCTTGTTTTGTATTCTCAGGAACCAAAGGGATTCCTCAGCTGCAAACAAATACAGCAATTGTTTACTGTTATTTAATCACTGCTGTTCAGTATCAGATCTCTTAAGGTCTATTTTTTTCAAGCCCAAACTGTGAGATTGCCCATCAGATTTTAATAGTTACTTTGGTGGTGCAAATCGATTTATGAAATTACTTACTTTCAGTGTGTTAACTGATCTTTCTGACTGTTTACTCTTAACAAGGATCAATCCATTGATCTGCCTTATGAAAGTGGCCCCACAGAATGTAGAGACAGCACAGGGGCAACAATTGGTATCCAGTGTGGGGCAGAGGAAGCTGTGGGAAGCTGAAGAGCTCTTTCTGAAGAGGCCATTCCTCTGTAGGACTCAAGATACCAAATCTGCCTTCCCACTGAAGTTTTCCTCAAACAGATTTTAGTTTTAGAGGTAAGATGTGGGGAAAACAGCAGGATTGGCCATGCAGTTTTTCTTTATGAAGTGAGTTTCTGCACCAGTACCCTGGTGGAAACATCCTGTGAAATGGCATACTCTCAGGAATGTTTATACAGCAGTCCACCAGGAAAAGATGTGGTCATTACATTTCTGACCTACTCTACCTGTAATGAATGCTTTGTTATTAAACCTCATTATTATATATCTATAAGCCACTTTTTTTTATACCTTTACAACTTCCCTAAAGTGCAATTACAAAGCACACATTACTGAGGTAATCTCCAGTCCCTCAAGCATTCATGTATTCCACATAACTTTTGTTAAACATTTTATCATGCTGCAGTGAAACATATTTTACAATGCATATCAATTTAAATGTTGAATTTCACCAGTTCAATAGAGAATGTTTCTTCTAACTCAGGAAGAACTTTGATATTAGCTCTGAGACATTAAAATGGGCCAAAAAAAACCCACTAACTTCTATTTTATTGGAAACACAGGGCTAGTATTTAATATAGTTATTTTATATGCTTAAATATACATTATCTCCTGTAAAAGCAGATACAATCAGTATTAAGCATTAAACAGTATGTGTTTATTGACTGTACAAAAACACCCTTTCATGCCCACGTTATCAAATAGGTTTTCTAACCTCTGTTCTTAAGAATGTAATTTGGAGGATGTGCATATGTATGCATGTGTAAATCGAACTATTATTATCACTTCAGCTGTGTGTGTGTTGGCACGGTAGGCTACCAGTTTTGCTGAAGTAATAATTTGGTCATGTCAGGGAACGGAAAATCAGATCGTCAAAGCACTATTCAGAAGAAATTGCTGAGTAAGACCATTGTGGTTTTTCTTTCCTGCCAAGAGATTAAACATCATACCTGGATATCATCTCTTAGCTATCACACACAGAGTACACATGAGATAGATAAGACTGGTAGCACAAGAGAAAATTAGAGGCATTAGGAGCTAGGAAGTGTTACCTGTGATGCACTTTTCTAGCATAATGAGCATACAGGGAATGCAGTGGCTTTGCCCTACAAAACACTTAATCAAAATATCAGCAATGCTTTTTCATTCTAATACCTGCAAGAGAAAGGGACTTAGGGACAGTCTGCTTGATTGTTTACTTTTGGAGACTAGATTCAGGTTTTCAAGCAGCTTTACAGCAAACTAATACTGCATCATCTCCACTCAAAATGTCTAAAGATACAGAAGTTTATTTTCAAATTTTTTAAGACAAATGTCCCACACGACATTCTTGTCTCTAAATTGGAGAGACATCAATTTGATGAATGGACCACTCCGTGGATAAAGAACTGGCTGGATGGCCGCACACAAAGAGTTGTGGTCAATGGCTCAATGTCCGGCTGGAGACCAGTAATGAGTGGTGTCCCCCAGGGATCGGTGTTGGGACCGGTCTTGTTTAACATCTTCGTCGCTGACACGGACAGTGGGATTGAGTGTGCCCTCAGCAAGTTTGCCGATGACACCAAGCTGTGTGGTTTGGTTGATACGCTGGAGGGAAGGAATGCCATCCATAGGGACCTTGACACGCTTGTGAGGTGGGCTGATGCCAACCTCATGAAGTTTAACCGTGCCAAGTGCAAGGTCCTACACCTGGGTTGGAGCAATCCCAGGCACAGGTACAGGCTGGGCAGAGAAGAGATTCAGAGCAGCCCTGCAGAGAAGGACTTGGGGGTGCTGGTTGATGAGAAAATGAACATGAGCCGGCAGCGTGCGCTTGCAGCCCAGAAAGCCAACCGTATCCTGGGCTGCATCAAAAGGAGTGTGACCAGCAGGTCGAAGGAGGTGATCCTGCCCCTCTGTTCTGCTCTCGTGAGACCTCACTTGGAGTATTGTGTACAGTTCTGGTGTCCTCAACATAAAAAGGACATGGAACTGCTGGAACAAGTCCAGAGGAGGGCCACGAGAATGATCAGGGGACTGGAGCACCTCCCGTATGAAGATCGGCTGAGAAAGTTGGGGCTGTTCAGCCTGGAGAAGAGAAGGCTGCGTGGAGACCTCATAGCAGCCTTCCAGCATCTGAAGGGGGCCTCTAGGGATGCTGGGGATGGACTCTTCATTAGGGACTGTAGTGGCAGGACAAGGGGTAATGGGTTAAAACTTAGGGGAAGTTTAGATTGGATATAAGGAAATGACCAACACAACTAGTTCTGAACAGAAACCATACAACTATGCCTAAGCTATTAAGCCATACTGAGTCAGGATCAGCCCAAGTGCATGATCACAAGATTCATGCCTCACCTAGAGCCCTACAAACATCTACCTTTCACAAAGGTGTGGTGTGTTATTCCAATATTCCAAGTATTATTCCAATAATGTAATATTGGATATACTGGATACAGTAAGAAAATCTTGGATGGGAAACTGCACAAATGCAAAGCATTAGATCATTAATGCGTACAGTTTATATTTTCACATTCTGATGACCAATGTATGCTTTTTTTCCAGGAATTAAAATAATCATTTCTGAGGTAATGGTGAGCAGCTTGTAGAGAACTAACAGATATGAGCTGTACGTAATTTATGCACTGATTAATTTGCACAGATATTTCATTTGCTTCATAAATGTCAGTAGAGAACACTGGTGAGAGATAATCACATATAATCCACCTTTTGTTAATTTACATAGAGTCATAATACACAGATCACACATACCAAATGGAAGACTTTAGCTGAAAAAAAGAAATGTAACTGTAGAATGGATTTGCTTGCACAAATGCATGGATGGTTTCAAATCAAGCAAGAAGGCAGTATTGATTTTGATATAGCCACCCTTAAAAATATAGTCTTTACAGAGTCAATACTGTCTTGATTTAGGTTCTAAAAAACCCCAAAAGACTCAGACTCAACTTTGTCCACTTATTATTGATTCATCTGGCATGCTGGGTTGTTGGGTTTTTTGTTTTGTTTCGGGTTTTTTTTTTTTTCAGAAATGCTTTTCTGCTCTCAAATTTTAGCTAGCTCTCCGAAAAGAATGTCTAATACAGTCACAAAGAGCAATTCTCTTGCTTACAACTGAGCTATTGACTATCGTAATAAAAAGGGAAGACAGAAGTCATGTCAGCTTAGCTTCTCACAGGACCTTACAGTGCTCCTTCATTCAAAAACACTTATGTAACCAACAAGCAATGAGTAATGAGTTGCAAAATATCAAGAAGTCCTTAGTTTTCTATCAGGTATGATACATTTATAAAATCAGGCTATTTTTAAGGAAGACCTTATAACTATCACCGTTAGTTCTTTGATATTTTACTGTAACACCTTTTTATTTTTTTCTCTCCTGCTACTGACATCTAAATGCCTATAGTTTTACACATCAGGACCATATACTAGCAAAAAAATCCATAGGCAGAGAGCTGAAAGATATTATTTTTACCATTTGTAGACAGCAGTTTTCACCTGATGAGCATCCTCAACACCTTCTTCCTCTTTTCATTGGAACGGGGGCTAATATGAAGGAGCACAAACACACATCAGAGCTTCTTTAATAAGCCTTAACTATTTTGCTTTGATTAATTTTGTACAGTGAAATTTAAATCCTTTGGGTAGGGGTAAAAGAGCCTTTCTGATGAAGCATGGAGA